AGTTGTCACACAATGTAACTATTGTACAGCATATGGTGTGATGCAGTTGTTATGGAGATCAATACACTACATCAGTGCTTCTCCGGTGTTCAAGAGTGAGTAATGTTTCATTTGTGGCTTCCCTGAAATTGAAATTTCTAGTAGGGAAACCAGAATCGCATCTTTGCATGCAAACTTTTTCACTGAAATAAGTTTAACTTTTAAGGTTAATTGAGATAGATAAACCTTGTAATTATGTACTAGTTAATAGGAGCATACACCCATGGAAGCACAGATTGCATTACAGCGTTGTGGGGACTTGTATACAAGTCAATGCAAATAGGAATTAAAAATTTAGATAACTTTGGTAGGGAGTGAACCCTGCCACTCTTGTGTCTGCATGGTTTATTTCATTTGGGGCAGAGTTTTTTTGTACCAGAATGTCACCTGTTTTGTTTTCTATTTGGGGTTGTGTTTCCATGCATTTCCCATAAATATCAGTGCACTGATTGTGTATTTTACTGAAAAACTTGATTTTTAGGAGTTTACTGATGAATTATTATTGTTATTGGGGGCAGTAATGATGAGTGTGAAGTATTTTATTAAGGGACTGTACAAATTGGGCACCAGCAAATGGTGCTGTAACCCAGTGTTTTCTTAGAGGCAACACACCGGCTGCAAAAAAACAAAACAACCTACCGGTTATGCTCCTTGAGTTGTCACAAAGGGGCTGTTCTTGAAGTGACACGCATGAGTGCAGTGTCAGCCCATTTTTCTGTGTAATTACTGTAAGGGTCCAACTATTTTGCTCTTGGGGAGGGGGTGTGATTCATTTTGGCAAGGATTTTTTCCCTGAACCTCTGGGTGGATCATGATTTTGGGTTGTGTAACCCAATGTTTCCTTGGACCTGATATATCACCCATCAGTGTAGTATACCTTTAGTTAGTGGTTTTCTAGAGCTAAACTTCATCACTTCTAGGTTATCATGCATCAGATTTCTGATTGTGCATCATTCTTTTGTAACATCAATACCTTGCACAGGAGCATGTGCACAGACAACTTGGTATTTTTGCTCAGCACTGAACTTAACATAGAAATTAATGGACAATTTTTTTCTCCCAAACAATCATGTTGACTGATTGTCCCACAACTGCATCCCTGAGAGCAATACTTTTGTAAGTTTTCATTCTTGTGAGACTGATTGCTTTTTGTAATGAACTTATCATTTCATGTTATCCATGGGGCAATATTTGTTTGAAAAAATGATCACAGTTTTTAGAGGCCTCTGGTTGCCCATTGAACCACTAAAAGCTTTCTCGATGGCACATCATAGGTTGGAAGCTGGCAAAATGGCACATCCTGCAAGACAGTGCTTTTGGGTAAAAAACTGATTAAATGATTATTACCAGTATCCTAAACCAAAGGCTTACATGTTTGATGAAAATTTGTATGATTGATTGAGATTGAAATGTTAAGTAGTCCTTACTAAAGCACTGAAGGCTTTCTCAATGTTAAGTCTTGCCAATCGATGCTTATCTGTTGTTCAAAGTGAGTAATGTTTCATTTGTGGCTTTCCTGAAATTGTAGTTTCTATTATGGTACACCAGAATAGTTTGCATACAAACTGCTTCTCTGGAGTAAGTTTGACTTTAAAGGTTATTTGAAATAGATGTAAACATTAAAATTACCAGTTCATCAGAGCATACCCATTGAAGCACTGAAAGCTTTCTCGATGGCACATCGAAGGTTGGCAGCTAGAAAAATGGCACATCTTGCCAATCAGTGCTTCTCTGGTGTTCGGAAGTGAGTAATGTTTCATTTGTGGCTTTCCTGAAATTGCAATTTCTAGCATGCAAACTAATTCACTGGAATAAGTTTGACTTTTAAGGTTAATTGAGATAGATAAACCCTGAAATTACTAGTTAATTGGAGCATATACCCAAGGAAACACATTGCATTGCAGTGTCGTGGGGACTTCTATACATTAGTCAATGCATATTGGAATTAAAAATTTATATAGCTTTGGTAGGGAGTGAGCCCTGCCACTCTTGTGTCTGGTTTATTTCATTAGGGGCAGAATTTTTTGTACCAGAATGTCACCTGTTTTGATTTGTTTTCTATTTGGGGTTGTGTTTTCCACGCATTTCTCATAAATATCAATGCACTGATTGTGTATTTTATTGAAAAACTTAACTATTGGGAGTGGATGAATTATTATTGCTATTGGGAGCAGTACTTTTTAGGGAATGTGTAAGTTGGGCACCAGCAAATGGTGGTGTAAGCCAGTGTTTTCTGAGAGGCAACGCAGGCTTAAAAAAAAAAACAAAAAAACCCTACTAGTAGTGCTCCTTGCGCTGTTGCAAAGGGGCTGCTCTTAATTTGACACACATGAGTGAGGTGTAGCCCCATTTTTCTGGGTAATTACTGCAGGGGTCAAACTATTTTGCTCTTTGGGGAAGGGGTTGGTGATTCGTTTTGGAAAGGATTTTTCCTTGAACCTCTTGGAGGGTCATTATTTTGGGTTGTTGTGTAACCCAATGTTTCCTTATCAGTGTATTACACCTGAGTGATTTCCTAGAGCTGGTTCATCACTTATAGTGATGTATCTGGTCTACAAACATTGATGTCAAATTTCTCTTGATGTTCCATCAAATTTTTTCAACCTTTGAACGAAAGGAATCACTGTTTGAAGAGGCAACCATGTGGTAAAGCAATGAGAAAAAACGAATTAAGGTCACTGTATCAAGGAAAACCAGTTCAGTTGAAAATATACCCATTTCGAGGGAGTAAAACCATCAAATATTTTTGGATTGTTGGTTGTCAAAGCACTTTAAACTTAAAATTGATCTCCTAAAGGAATTGCAGCCAGCTAGCTTTATTGGGAAGCAATACAAGGTACCTTTTGGCTAGAATTCATGGCCTAAAATTTCCTCTGCAAAATCTAAAGAGACGAATTTTTTAAACTGTCTTCATATACATCCTAATTGGAGTTACGATAATTATGTTTCTCTGACATCGTCGGTAGAATTTATT